ATAAATAAATAAAAAGAACCAGAGCTGCTGCTTAGTCTAGGTGCACTTATTTAGAAGCACCACTTCTCGGACTTAGAAAACTGGAGAAGGGATGAAATCCAAGCTACAATATTAAAAATAATCACTATATCGCTTTTCAGCCTTTTGGCTGAGACCAAGTATAAAAATAATCACTGTAAAACATAAATGAATTGTTATGTATCTCAGGTCAAAAATTTAAAATATCACTACAGGTTTCCCAGGTGAGTTCATATGCGTAAGGAAAGTGGAAAGACCTGCTTTGTAAGGGACATGAAGATGTCACATACATACCATCCTTTGTTTTCCTCCTCCAACTTCCTTACTACTTTATCATCTAAGTTTAAGGAGTGACTGATGTCTACCATTATTATAGATATACTTGAACAAGTGCACAAAGACGTATTTATAACAGTGTTCACTGAAGCATTGTTTTAAAAACACGGAAATAACCTGTCTATCAAGAGCCTAGTTATGTGAAACATACATGTCATAAAAGATGTTTACACATATATATAAATATGGAAAGATGAGCAATGAAAGAACTAATGTTTATCTAGTATGCATTAGGCATTGCTTTAATCCATTTACAGATATGAACTCATTTAATTGCCGAGGTAACTCTAGGAAGCATTCAGTTGTTATTGTTATGCTCAATTTAGAAATCAGAAAACAAGAACAGAACACAGATTGTCCAAACACAGGTTCATTGTGGGGTTGTGATTTCAACCAAGGAAGTCGGACTCTAGAATCTGTGCTCTTAATCACCAGTCTAATAAGACATACTGGAGAATGGAGGATACAGTGAAGTTCAATATAATCCCACATGTGAAAATGTGTGTGAGTTTGTGTACACATGTGTATCTTATGCAGCAGATAAAAATTCTAGAAAATTATAAAACATTTTACCTCTGAGTGGGTCTAGAGAGGGCTGGAAATAGGAATATGAGAAACAGTATTTTTATTTTCTTTTCAAATGCTTCTATATTGTTTGGATGTTTTTAGTGTATCATTTTTCTAATTTTATAAAAACTGCTAACAAAGAAAAGCCTATGGTGAGAAGTTCTCCTGGCAAATGAACTCCAAAGCGTGCTACTACCACTCAGTTAATTTAATTGCTCTTATCAATACTGAATATTGAATTGAATACTTTCCTGTGAGAATGAATGGAAAGGCATGATTTTGCAGAGATTATTCATAATATAAAGTTCCACATTAAAAAATCCACAAAATCGGTAGATATACACAATGGAATATTACTCAGCAATCAAAAAAGATAAACTCATGCCTTTTGCAGAAACACTGATGGAGCTGGAAGGGATCAGGCTTAGTGAAATAAGCCAGAAAGAAAAAGAAAAATACCAAATGGTTTTTGCAGGAGCATAAAGGATGGGGGGGGCAGAAATAATAATGAACAGCAATATACCTGAGACATTTTCTGGGGGTAGAGTGGGAAATGGGATCAAAAATGGGGTACAGGGGAGTGCACGGGACTATGGCGATGGCCCATGGGTAAACTGGTGATGGGATGTCCATGGGGATTATAACTGAGATGGGAAAAGGCACAAAATGATATAAAAATAAACTCTTAATTTAAAAAAGAAGAAAAATCCACAAAATCAGTGCTTTATCAGGATATCTTTATTTTAATAATTACGTTTTCAGTAATATTAGCTATTAGGGCATTTGCTTATAGAGTTCAAGGTCTATTCACATACTAAACTAACAAAAATAAATAAAAGCAATGGTGAATTTTCTCTGACTTTCCAATGACTCTGGTTTTACAACCCCAGAAGTTGTCTCCAATTACTTCTCAGAATATTGTTTAAAAGAAAAATTTGATTGACTTAATGACAAATATGTCATTGACTATGGTGGAGGGGTTAAAAATTCAAGTTGAAAAATCAAATACAAAACAGAACAAATGCTACAAAGTGAAGTGACAAAATGGTAACAACCCATGTTCATTGTGAGTTTACTATATATCAGGCAACATGCAGCTAACCTACTTTACTTCTGTACTCAACATACAGATAGATATTGTGTCCATTTAACACATGTGGAGGACAAGACATAGAGAAATTAATTTACTCAGTGCCTTATAGGGAGCCAGGGGAGAGGTCAGGCTTTTAGCCTTTTTCTCCCTGACTCCAAGCCTGCGTTGTCCACACATTGCCTGCCAAAGTGTACAGGACACAAAACTGACCTTTTGTACTAGCTAATGAAGTGTTGGTAAATATGCCTGAAGTCAGGCTTTTTTTTTTTTAAGATTTATTTATTTATTCATACAGAACAGGCCAGAGATGCGGAGGGTGAGAGGCTTTACCAGAGAGAGAGCGGGAGCAGAATAGGCAGATCTACAAAGTACACTGCTGAGGGGAGCAGCGGGCGGGTCAGTAGAGGTCTGCCTCGCCATGTGGTCACCTCCGGGGCAGGCGGGAATCGAACTCATGCAGAGGTGGCTTTAGTTTCTCAGTGCAGTGCTTTAAACCGCTGCACCACCAGGGAGGGCCTGAAATCAGGCATTTTTAAGTAGATTCACACTAGGTATTCTAAGGTGGCTGGTGGTATGTAAAAAAAAAAAATGTTGCTTGGGAATAAGAAGACTCAGACTTCATCGTTTACTATAACTATGAAACTTTGAGCAAACTACTTCTAGGGTTTTCTCATTTGAAAGTGTTATTTAGCAACAAACAACTATAAACCAGAGACATTCTTGGGTCTGGAGAGGGGAATAGGATGAAAACTGGGGTGAGAACAGCACAGGAGACTATGGTGATGGCACATGGGTGAATTGGTGGTGGGAAGTTCACCGGGATTACAACCGAGATGAAAAAAATGTACAAAATGAAGAATAATGTAAGATATATATAAATATATATATACATCTATATATATATATAATAAAATAAAAAGAAAGTGGTTTGTTGTAAAGACCAAGTTAGATAATTATAAAGTCTTATAAAAATGACTTTTCTTTAAAAAAAATATTATTCAACACCTAAAAATGTCTCCTATGGTCCATAATCTAATGGGGGATAAAGGCATACTCCCATCCTCACTCAAGCCTTCCCAGGATAAAAATACTTACACTTGGTAACAACTGCCCCTCAGAATAGAGTTCATCGTGTTCTTTCTTGGCAAGCCGTAAGCCATGTTGAATTATTATAACCGAATCTCTCACAGAGATGTTGATGTGATCACGAGGTACTCTTGATTTTTGCCTGAAAAGATGGCAAAGCAATTAATGACCTTCACTCTATATTTTGAAATATTCAAATAATTAAAAAGATTTAGATAAAGCATTTCTGAAAAACATTCAGAATGCCCATAACAAACGTCCATTAAATCTGAACACCTAACACCTAATGTAGAAGCGTTTTCTTTTATTGTCCATAAACTCGCTTTGTCGTTTCTCCCTATGCTGAGAATATGCCAGGTTAACAGCAAGGTGTTGTCATTGCCTCAACCAGCCCAACCGGCCCAAACACCGCATCACTAGGACCTGTCAGCGGGTGGCACCGCGGGGCGGTGGGGCGACAGCTGGTTCGGCGGGCCCGGGAACTTCCCGGCCCACGCCCCACCACCCCAGCCCTTTAAAAGATGCAAACATTTCCTGGATTCAACTATCTGAACTTAAAAAAGTCACCAACTGGAGCGCCATCCTCGTCCCCTCCCAGGAGCGCCCTCCCACCCACGACCTGCGGCTCCCAGGTGCAAGCGGGCCTCTGGAGCTTTAAGGTGTCCGCCCGGGGCGAAGGTGCAGGCCCTGGCGCGGCACCTTCCCACGCCCGCGCCCCGCTCTTGCTCCCACCCGCCCCAAAGGTGCGGGGGCGCGCCGCGTCCGCCCAGGCCCGGGGTGGGGACTTGGTCAAGGCCGGGAACTGGGAGGGGCGCCTGATTACCAGCAGAGAGGGGCTGGGAGGGCCGCGGTCCCGCGCGGCCAAGGGCAGAGCTCACCTGGGTTAGACCCACAATGGCTTCGCTCTCGCCACGGCCCACACAGCGCGCGGCCACTCGCCTTGTCTCAGTAGGCGGCGCCACCTCGGGCACTGGCGCCCAGCGTCACACTCTGGCTTCAACAATGGGCCCGGTGGTCCGGGGACGAGGCGGAGGGGGGGGGGGGGGGGGCGGCGCTTTTAGGGGGCCCTCTCCCCCTGTGCGCCTTTTGTCTGCGCCCCGTAATCCCCCGGGGTCCCCTGGGTGGTGGTGGGGGTGGGAGCTTCGGGTCACACAACCGAGGAGGGTCACACTCTTGACGCAACAAAGCCCAGGAATGAACCAAAACTAAACCAGGCCTGTCCCTGAACAGGTTGCTTCACTGATTCGGGGATGATTTGAGGGCACCGCTGAAGAAATAAATGGGCTCAGTTCTGGCATAGTCATTTGTGAGCAACTCTTACTGGTCACGCTTGGGGAACTGCAGCCTGTTTGTGTTTCCATGTTATAGTACCTCAAGGCAGTTTTAAATGCTAATGCTCAAAATTCACGAGTAAGATAAGTTATATATTCATATTAGGAGAGAGACAGGATCGGAAAGGGTTGTCTGATGGACCAATAGCTGAAGTCTGCCCTGATGTGATTCACGATGAATCCACAATACCTCAGTTGGTCACTACTCAACGTCAAATGAAAATAGCTTACCTTTTCATTTTGCATCAGGGTGTAGGAGTCAGAACTGAGTTGGGATTCTCTCTTGGCTAATGTTTTTATCTTGCCTCTTGAACTTCTCTAAGCATCAATTTCTTAATCTATAAAATAGGTGTAATACTGTATAGCTTAATGGGTTGTTGTGAGACTTAAAGACCACGTCTGTAAATTCTCTGCTAAGTGAGTAATTATCTAATTTTGAGTTCAGTAACAACTTTATGAAATAGGCAAGGGAAACACTACTTATTATACCACTTGTAGAGAGGTTAAAGGATTGCCTAAGGTCACATAACTACTGAGCTGCAAGGCCAACTTTTGAAATTACACAAGCTGATAGGAACTCCTACTTTATTAGAATAGGATCCCATAGTTGAACCATCTTCAAAAGGTGTTTTTGTGTCTCACAGAAAAAAGGAGGGCTCTGTTGCTCTATAGCATTTTTATTCTAGTTCCAAAGAAAAATGAACAGCATGGAGTAAAATTGGATGGATATCAGTATTAAATACACACACACACACACACACACACACACACAAATGATGTAGCCACTAATGGGTTGTGAAAACAATAGATTTTGGGCTAAACTTTTTTTTAATGAAATAGCATAGAATGGGGAGAAAATTAGTATACACTATGCTAACAAGTGTAATTACATATTGTTTTATGGAACTGTCCTTGTTATACATGTACATGCAGTTTCAATGCAAACTATAACTGTTGCAGTGTGTCTAGAAAATTTGAGTTTTGTCTAAAAACATTTCAGACACATGTAACTGAGGTGTTAACTGATGCTCCAGAGACAGACCATCTTCAGATTGAAGTGGTAATTGGATCCCTGACCTACTCTCTTTTAATAACTAAAGAAATCAAGAACCAGAGAGAGGATGTGATATGCCCAGGGCCATCACTGAGAGAGATCAGACAACTTGTGATTTTTCTCCATGTGGGGGCTTTGTTTTCTATGTACAGAGAGAGACAATTCCTGACAATTGTATATAGTAATTTTCTGAGACTCACCTTGACAAAAAAGTTGTGGAAGTTACAGAGTATGACATCTGAGATGAGGTCATGAAGGGTACTGTGACTTTCTGCTATCTCTCTTAGCTCACTAAGACTGAAGGGACCAGTTGCCAAGTGCTGGGAAGATACTCAAGTTACCTGATAAGGAAATTCATATGCAAGGAATTGAGGTCCCTTGCCAGCAACTGTGAAGCTGAGACCTTTTGCCACCAATCATGTGAGAGAGCCATCTTGGAAATAGGGCCTCCAAGACTCAGGCATATCTTCAAATGGCTGCAGAGTCAGCTGATATTTTGACTGAAATTTCATGGGAGACCCTGAATGAGAAATAACAAGCTAAGCTGTTTCAGAATTCCTTGCCCTTAGAAAATATAGCAAATGTGTGTTATTTGAAGCTACCAACCTTTGGAAGAAACAGCAACAGATTATGAATATAACTTCATAACAGATTATGAATGTCTTATAAAAGGAATTTGTATGTAGAGGAAAATTGCCACATTTTTGCATTTTGGATTAGTAATTTGAACCCAAAATATATATGCAGGGCATGCTGATTTTGTTAAATCTCATCCAGGGACAATCATAAGATTCTTAACCGTAAACACAAAATATGTGGCAACTCCACTACTTTATGTATTTAGAAGTTAAAAACTGAAAACCGGGGCCCTCCCTGGTGGTACAACAGTTAAATCACAGCACCATGAGGCTTTCTACAACCACTGCAGCACAAGTTTGACCCCAGGCCAGTGGGGTGACCCACATGGCATGGTAGACGTCTCCTGTCCTGCCCGCTGCTCCCCTCAGCAGTGTACTTCCTTGATCTGCCTGTTCTGCTCCCCACTCTGTCTCTGGTGAATCCTCTAACCCCCCCCACACACACACAACTCTGGTGTACCCAGTTCTTGTATGCATAAATAAATAAATCTTTTAAAAAAAAACTGAAAACATTAAAATCCCACAGAAATTGGAAAGATAATCCAGTGAAGACCTGGGTTCCTCCCACCCCAACCCATGATGATGTTTCAGTGTTCTTCTTTGAAATATTAGTTTCGATCCCTGCCTGCCCCAAGGTGATCCACATGGCTGGGCAAACCTCTCCTGACCCACCCACTGCTCCCCTCAGCAGTGTACTTCATCAGTCAGCCTGTTCTGCTCCCCACTCTATCTCTGCTGAATCCTCTCACCGCCCTTGCCTCTGGCCTGTACCCCAGTTCTGTATGCATAAATATAAATATATCTTAAAAAAAAAAAGAAATATTAGGTTCTTTCTAAATCAGTGTCTGTCTCTCTGTCTCCCCTCTCCCTTTTAAGTCTTATCTCTCTCCCTGCTTTTCTGGTACCCTACACACACTTTTTATTGGTTAAGCCTTCACCAGAAAGTAAGCTATTTTCATTTAATTCATTAAGCACAGCACTAAGAAGCTAAAGCCACTTCAGCATGAGTTCCATCCCTGCCTGGGAGGTGACTCACATGGCATGGCAGACCTCTCCTGACCTGCCCGCTGCTCCCAAGGCAGTGAGCTTCCTCAGTCAGCCTGTTCCTTGGTCGGCCTGTTCTCCTCCCCACTCTGTCTCTGGTGAAGCCTCTCACCGCCCCTGCACCTCTGGCCTGTACCCCAGTTATGTATGCATTAATAAATAAATAATTTTTTTAAATCTCAAAAAAAAAATCATTGCTGATTATTTATTTAAAAAAGAAAAGAGAGAGAGAAATCATTGCTGGGGCCTCTCTGGTGGCACAAGGGGTTATGTATCAACACTATGAAGCTATCCACAGCCACTGAAGCACAAGTTCAATCCCTGGCCAGGGAGGTGACCCATATGGTACAACAGACCTCTCCTGTCTGGCCCCTTGCCCACTGTGCCCCTCAGCAGTGTACTTTAGTCAATCTGCCTGTTCTACTCCCCACTCTGACTCTAATGAATCCTCTCTCTCTCTCTCTCTCACACACACACACACACACACACACAGCCCACCTGTGGCTTACACCCCAGGTCTTGGATGCATAAATAAATAAATCTCCCCAAAAATCATTGCTGCCACCTAGTGTTAAATTGAGGTACAAGGAGATACACAAAAGTACATGATGATAACAATCATAAACTGTAACACAAAAGCAATACTATGTGATCACATTATGTTTTGGAAACTGTTCAAGATACTTCATATATATTGTCTCACTTAGTACTCATAGCACTAGATGCAATTAACTTAGTGAAGTTACTTTAAGGATATTAAATTATTAAAAATTTGAGTCACCTCAGGTATGAATAATTTTTCCAAGATCACAGGATGAACCCAAGACTACCAATTCTGATTTGTTTCACTCCCCATCATGCTACAGTATACATTCTCCTGGGACTGGAGAATCCAATGTAAATATCCGCGTAATTGGACAATTACGTTCTCCTGTAATTAGACAAAATTATAGAGTATTTACTTGTAAATATTTTTACAACTACCCTTTTCCAATATTTTGTTAATT